GCACTTGAAATGCCATAACGAAGGGCAAGCAAAACCGTAAAGGTCTGTTTCACTTCACATTCCAATCGAGGCTAAAAACCTTTAGGATATACAGTGGACAATATCGCCGCCTGCGTTGCGATTTGCTAATTGACATATTTGGCGTTGGGGAATTTAAACCATTCTTGTTGTCACTTTTTGAAGCTGAATCACAATATCGCTCTGTGAAATTACCAGCTAAAGCTGGGAACACAGTATAGCAGGTTAGAATGTCACTTAGTGTGTGCCAACCATGGAACGCACTCCTTACCTACCTTCTTCTTCACTCATGCTAGCGGTATTCAAAGAAGTCTCCATGATGGACTCATACATTTGCATTACCCCATATAACCCTCTGTGCCCGGACGTCAACCTAACGCTACAAAACAACGTGCACATTTTCACTTCATGCACATCCTTCGTAAACACCGCTACTGTGGGAACTGAGTTTACATATTCCGTCGGTCCAAAGAAGTTAGACTCGAGTGGGCGTGTTCATTTCCTATTTTTCAAACAGATTAAGTTGGCTAAGTTATGTATCTGTTTCTTCATCATGCACCTACAAGCGCTACCATAAGACTCAAAATGACTGTAGGTAACATCTGCGAGGTGCTCTACTACAACATAAATTTGGGCTCGCTCGTACAGCCTCAGGTAATCCAAAACGCTTTTTCGCTTACGTCAAAAGGCGAAGCAAGTTAAATTCCTACATCCCGGTGTTGTTTGGCCCTGACGGATCTGCTGCTGTCACAGATCACGACAAGGCTTGTTTACTTGGTGAAGAGCATACAAGTGTGTATGTTGGAGAGTCTCAGCTGCAGCATATCAGCCTGCAGATAAAAGTTCTGTGTACTCCTTCCTGGAGGTCTCAAAATAAAAGGCTCAAGTGCTCCGGCCTCTACGGGAAGTAAATCTCAATAAAGCTTCTGGGATGAGTGCTATTCATCCCAAATTGTTATACGAGTTGGCTGATGAAATTTGCCCTATGCTTACGTAGCTGATTGCGTAGTCTCTACGCAGCCGCTTCTTGCCCACCGACTAGAGGGAGGCGATTGCATATTCCATTAAAAAGATGACAAATAGCTCCTTGAAAACTGTAGATCGAGCGTACTCACGAGTGTACTGGTCAAGCTGTTGGAAAAGCTTGTGAGAGACGCTCTCGGATGACAAGTAAGAGCGTTTAGGTTGCTCAACCCCTCTCAACACGACTTTCGTAAGGATTAATCTTGCCTTACTAACTTCTTGGCAGTTCGAGAAGATTAGATTGAGACCATAGAGCGGGGGAAGGCAGTGGACGTGATGTTCATAGACTTCTCCAAAGCTTTGACACCGTTCCGTATTCGTGTCTTTTGTACAAGCTGCAATCGCATGGTATTTCTGGATTTATCTTACCATAGACTTCAGCTTTCCTATTTGGAAGGGAGATGAGTACTCTGGTGGCTTCCAGATGTTTTTCCAACAATGCGTGCCCAGTGGGGTCCCGCAACGTTCAGTTGTTGGCCCCCTTCTCTGTACTTTATACGTTAACGGCTTAGCTGATGAGCTAAGCGTGCCATCCCTAATGTTTACGGATGACTTAAAATTCTGGTTCACAGTAAAGGATCGAGTGCTCCACTGACCCTACAAAGGACTCTGGATAGACTTTGGGACTGGTATTTTGTGGCACTTGTCCGTAAATCGCACGAAATGTTCAGTCTTAAGCGTAAGAGTAAATGAAGCGATATTTACTTGGTGGCAACGATGTGCCATAGGCGCAAGTCCAAGCTGACCTTGCTGTCACCCGACTTTAACTATGGCGAACAATGGATGATAGCTGCTCGCAAAGGATTCGACGTGCTTTGGATGATCCGCAGTTCATTCGCGATTATGACGACTGCCATGTTCGTTGGACTATTTTTAGCATTTTTAAGGCCACACTTGGAATACTGTTTACAGGCTTGTCCCCCATGCCTCGTTCGTGACAGGATGGCAGTTGAGTGTTTATTTGTACGCTTCGCGTTGAGAATATGCGCGTGACGCTCGCAGCTGCGCAAGTGTATTACCCACATGTCTTTTGAATACTGACGATAACTACGCTTGTAAGTTTTGGTTAAAATACACGGTTCTTAACATTTGGTGGGTTTATTGTGTCTTGGCTCGTAACCTAGTGTGCTTACAGGATACAACAAACGGGTTCTGCGGTCTGGCACAAAAATGATGCTTGGGTTAAAGAGGCTGATGAACCCGGAGATGCTACGTAAGTTGCATATTTTGTCTATGCATTGCAGTCGACTTCGGGTCTACCTGGTCCTCACATATAGCATACTAATAGGTCAGATTATTCCTGATTATCTGGAATGTTCCACCCCACTCGAATGCCAACCCTTCGTGGTCACCCACCGAAGTTGCACAAACCCCGATCTGACCAGTTGGGGAAGCTTTTCGGTTATCGCGTAGAGTCATAGGTTATTGGGACGCGCCGCCTGTAGACGTTGTGACGGGCTGAGAGAGTGAACGAGTTTGAAAATTGGCTGGACGCCCTCGGTCTGCCGTGTAACGTCTTTCTCTTCATGCCTTAAGCTTTTACTCGTCGATTATAGCCTACTCCTCCTTACTTCATGCTCAATTGCATCTCCATATTACTTAAGTAATTTGAAATGTCTGCTTTTCCATTTAGTTCCTTTTGTTTCCTTCTATTGAAGTGACCGGCACAGTTGGAACTGCTGGTGCAGGTCAGGTGGGCATTGCTTGGTTGACCATGTGAACCGTGTGTAGATTTGGCTCACCTTTGGTAGATCAATCTACCGCATTACCTGTTGACTTAACGACAACCAGGAATACCATGCCTACACAACCTATGGATCCATGTCTTAACAATCCTTCGCTCGATCTCTCCGTTCTCGCTAACCTGCTCTCACTCTCTCGAGGTGCTCTCATCGGCCGACGTACGGGCTGCTGAACCTGCCAAATCACGTTTTACCGCACCACCGTTTAGTCACTTTATTTCACTTTTGTTCAGCGCCGCATTCTTGGTCTTATCCCTCCGTCTTCGAGTTCACAACACCGTTTCGCATTGGGCTAACTTTCTCGCCATACGGATGAGGAGCCTAGGTCCGAAGATGGGCCAATTCGTGTTGACAAGCCATTCAATTAGAGCACCAGCAACGATTTCCTCATCAAATAACAGCTATGTCGTTCGCCTACGTTGATATACATTCAACACCCAACATACGTTAACACCTCGCTGTTGCCACCCGACATCTTGCCGTGATGTTAAGAGTAAAGCGTTCATTCAGTTCAATGCCTTTTAGCAAAAGCGGCTACTTCGTCATTTGTGAATGATCTCAAAGTGGATACGTAGTGGTACGAGGCGGGAATCAAGTGATAGTGGCTCTATCTGGAGATCACTATGGAGGACTACGCGTCAAAGTAGCTCATACTCCTTTGGATGTGGTGGCATTTGCTCGACTTGACAGTAGTATGATAGTGCGCACCATGGTTTCGCATCTGTTAACCGTCTCGGTGTTTGCATTTTACTACAAACAAGAGTAATGTTGTGCAAGAAGTGGCCAGCTCATTGTGCCGTCTTACGCCATCTTGCATTGTGTCGAATGGAAGTTTTACATTCAGCTATATAAGCCACTGCGGCCCATGATGGACGTTAGCGAACGAACTGCAGAAGACACTCAGTGCGTCTACCTGCGAAGTGGACAAGCATCAGTGCCAAAAGGAACTTGCATGCTTGGTACACGGAACACCGGGTCATCCCTCTTGATTGTGCCGGTCGAGGTAAAAGCGTCCAATCGCTACCTCTACTCACACTCCGATACTGACTGAATCGGCTCTTTAGCAGCTGAGTACTTCTGTACGAATTGGGCAATTGTAGTGTTGTATATCAATTCAGCAGCCATTATTTGGGTTTGCTAGTTATTGATTCGGTTGTGGCCACAACGTTAACCCCGAAACCACTTAACCTGACAAGGCTTTGTACTAGAATCAACATGGTACCATGCAAATATACCACCGAGTAGTTTTTAAACACATCGAAACGCAAAATTTACAGACTTCAGTTATATTCAAGAACATCCAGCAAAATGCCATAATAATAGCTAATTCATTTGTAATGGCTGGCTGGGGATTCGCAAAGTATAGTTCTAAGTGCTCATTCTTCAGTGTCACTGAATAAGGAAAGGACTCGGCGATCGCTCACCTCTAGCACAGTGAAGTTGGTAAATCATTAAGCACGAAAGTATTCCACAAAGACACGTGGACACCGATGCCTCTTTGTCAGTACATGCGACATCAGGTATCTAGTAGTACACAACTGTGAGGTTTATGTTTGCGCATCTGGAGCCATAAAGAACGTGGGATAATGTGCTATCATTGGAATATTTCGTATATAAAGTGTATGCCTTCATAATAAATGGTTTTTGAATTTTCACTCAGGTGCTTTTTCGGAGTGTGTCAAAGGAGAAGAAAAACATCACCAGCGGTTTAATTCTTCCTGGGGGTACAGATTTTTGGTGCAGCACCCGTCACTGATTACTGCATACTAATGATCAACAAGCAGGCCTAACTAGTGATAAGGTACGTTGTTCGTCCACGAATAGTATTTGCTTGGATGGTTTGTTCCTACCGGATGTAATCAGGTAACTGAATGGGAACACGCGAGCTAGCAAGGTACTGCGTATTTTGAGGAAAAATACCCGACTTTCGGAATCTGATCCGTTCGTCTGAACCGATGAACTCCGAAGATGTTTTCCGCTTTAGCTGATGAGAAGCTTGCAGGTTTGTAATGTGTGATCTCGCATCTTCCATCATCAATAATTCCAGGAGCATATTCCTAGATCCAGGACTGGAGGGATTGAAGACCATGTGACCTGCAGGGTCCCTTGCATTTCGCGGAAATGTAAGACGCGTCCATCACTAGCATAACGGATTGATGAGCATAACCAGCATTCAGATACGCAGAATATGCAGGGCTTACATAGAAATTAACTCACGTGATTGGCAGACTGAGTCCTGTGTTCCAACTGGGATTACTGCCCTCTGAAGTCGGGGTGACGCAAGCTTGGTTTTGAAATTGTATCTCCGCAAATGCACAGATAGGCTTGCAATTGTAAACAGTGGGAATAACATGAGTTAGCAAGCACTACCAAGTTCAGTTCCTTGAACAAACATGCAGCCTATTTACATGTTTATTCAATTCATGGTGAGATAATATTATTTCAGGTTTTGTATGAAACTGTCATCTGCAGTAGGGAATGCCTGTAAGGACATGAGAATCGCTGGAATCTACCCATGCGGCCCGCTGTGGAGACATTCACATCGGAGGAAAGGTTATACCTAGTGGACAGTTGCACACATTGCCGGACAGCAGTGTCACTGCTTTTGAGTCTGGATTACATGACTAGCTAAGTGGTGTTCAAAGTTGTCGGATAAAAATGCGAAGGATAAAGTCTGAGTGGACAACTTCCTGTGAGACAAAAAACACTTTGACAATAACCTTATCCGGCTGTGCGGAAAAACCTGTAGCAGCGCTTAGTAAATACTTCTAGGCATGATGGATTGGATAAGTTTAGCCCCCGCATTGGAGAGATAGGCAGAAAGCTGCCAGTTGGGCCATTTTCCATCTAGAGCAAGTAGTGACCATCTCATTTATCGATTTCGTGTTCCTCTAACAGTTCTAACCAGATACGAGCTTGGTTCTGGGGTGTCTCGATCGAAAGAGGCTGAGTCAAAAAAGTCATATCAAACGCTCTCTGAATCGGACTATATTCATTTAGCATAATGTAAGGTGGTGCGTGTTCGTGAGGCTCAAGAGCACCGTGTCTTCCAGCTCAAGTAGATCACAGAAGTGTAATAAAATGTCAATTACTGACTGTGGAAATCTCTTCACATAACCCAGTGTGGGTGTCAAATGGAACAGTAGACCGGCGGACGGTAGACAAGCCTTCAACGACAACGTAGCCGCTGATTAAGGTCTATGGTTACCGATATACTGGTAATGTCCAACACCTATTTCACTAAGCTGTGGCCAAATTACCGCCACGTCGGTGATCTGTGAAGCGACTAAGTTGAATAGTCAGAAGAAAAGAGCTCGGTATTGATAAAGATCCGTTTAATCGTTTTTCGGATGATGTGTCATGCCAATGGACGCTATATGAATTCTTGAAACTTGATTTATAGGGCTACAACCAGGTGATGCCACTGTGATGGCCTTTACCAATTTCCTCCTTAACCTATTAAAATACAGATGATAGTAGTGGATTAGGGTTGGTTTTGTCCAACTACTATTAAAGGTTTGCAGTTACAGAGCCTTATGCTTTACAGATATATGTATAAAGCTTAAGTCAAAAAGGTTTTCCGAGTTGAGAGCATCATTTTTTTGGATAGATGTATATTGAACGGATATAAATCACAGTATATCCAGCGTTCACCAGCAAAGTGTCCCAATACGTGCCGATTATATCGCCACTAAGCGACGGCAACTAAGCGTCAGCAGCTGCCACTCTATTCACCAGAACAGTTTCACCGCTAGATTAGAGCCCAACTCTGGATGTTTGCAAGAAATCACGGTAATCCACTACGATTTGCGTTCCTTGACACCATGCGGTAGAAACAATCGTTATTTCACTTGCGACGAGGCTTCGCTTTTCGACTACCATCTCTTCGACATATAGCTATTTGTGAAAATGAAAGTTTCAATGCAGTCTCACTCCGTACATTGCCAAAAAGTTATTGTAAATTGGACAATCAAAACGAAAGAAATGTTTTGCTCAGCATACAGGCAGTATTTCGTACGTCCTGGCTAACCAACTGTAGCCAACCAATCTGACAAGATACCAAATAGCGCAGTTTTAAAGTGCTGAGAGTGATAACGTGAAATCCTGCACGTATGTAAGTAGTACATTACTTCCTATTCCTTTGTAACTGTGAAGGAGAAACATTCCATTACTGCTACCGCACAGCAGTTGATGTTCAGTCCCTTATCAGATTCCTGTAGAGATGCATCAAGTATGAACTAGGCATGGCTACCCTGGTTAGTACACCCTTGTTTTCAACGAAGTCGAATGAGTTAGGCGAGTGAGGTTCTATGGAGCGATTGCTGAGGTCGGTGGCAAAGACTTGGCAATAGATTACCCAGCTCTGGGTAACGCTGTAAAGTCCCTTTGACAAAGGCAGTTACAGACTGGAGATGCCCAATGTACAATACCCGAATAAAAATACTCCATGCTGTTGGTTTATTAGATCTACAAAGGAGCGAGAAGCGAGAATAGCGGGGAACTGTCGTAAGCAAAAGAGCATGGCAGTGCCACCAATCAGTCTAGAGACGATCTGTCTAATCTAATTGGTAAAAGACATCGGGACATCCCCCTTTAAACTACAGACTTGTGTAATAGGATACGAGTAAGCAAACTGTGGCGACGGAAGTATATGGCTCGTTTGTTGTTAGATTCGTCAATACGACCAACTACGCCATCAGCGAAAAGCGTTCCGTTTGCTTTGAGTAGTAGCTTCAAGTCAAATTAAGTCAAAATAAGCCGGATGGGCGCCTCTTTAGTATTTTACACTATCTATCGCAAATATAATGAAACAGAATCAGTAAATATGAGAATTTTGCGAGTGGAAAGACAGAATGAGAGAAGAGTGAACAATTGTTACTTGAGTAAACAGTCCCACATCTTTGAGCAACGATCCCATATTGATATAAAAAAATAAAGGACTCCATTTGGTTGACGAGGCCAACTTTTGTTAAAAACGTTTTATTTGGATGAAATTAGAGAACCATGCGCGGTGTCTGGGATAATTTTCCAAAGCATCGGTAACCCCAGCGACTTTGTAGTTGTTCAGCCAAAGAATTCGTCAAAAAATCGAGAAAGACTGATACGTTCGCAGTAGATAGTGCAAGAAAACATGTTTCGGGGTGAGCGGCAACGGCCAGTATAAACGCCTCTCCTGTGACTGCTAATACGCACATAAAGTTAGATTAGACCAGGTGGCTAGCGGTGATAACAGAAACGGCTACTGTGACTGATGCCTTTGAACGAAACACTCATTAAATCGGACCGTACACTACCAATCTTGATAGAGTTCCTACATATTCAGATAAAGTCTAATACTACATTGTAATCTGCTTATCAGGGACTTTTGATAACAATGTATAGGTTAAAAATACAGACAAATGGGCTGTGGTTGCAATAGATCTGTGACGTTTCGTCTGACACATAACACTATTAACCTAATCCTTAAGCGGCTTGATTTTGTGGAAACATCGATTATAAATGTTGAACAGGCTAGGTATCACATGTTGTGCGAAAGATGCGACTACCTGAAACCAGAAATCAGCACACATTTGTCTAACATTGAAGAGTCCATAGGGCTGTACATATAAAGGGGATGAAGAATAAGTATGAGAGTGAAAAAGGTATAAAGCAGGGAATGGATAAGGCGGTACAAGGAGTGCTTTGCTCTACAGACGAAAAGCTAGAGGCGAAGACACAATGGCGATCATCCAAGGGCAATTAACTTCCAGTGAGACGAAAAATTGTTATGAAGTTCCCATTCGAAAACAGGTGCTAAGGCATTCCCAGCATGCGAACTTGTACGTAGTTTTTGCAATTATGTGAAATAAGGGTCAATTAAGTGAGGCAGTTGGATCCCATTTACCAGTGGGGGGTCCCCATTGCGAGAGTTAGAACAGAAGTCCAGGGACGAAAGTGGAAACCAAGAGGCCATTACCAATAAGTTAGTTCGTCAGAGAAGATCCATATCAGATATACTTAAAAGTAACATGACTTAGTTCGATTTTACAGAGGCAGGACCTTAAAAATGAACGTTACCGTATTTTCCGAAGTATCGTCTTTACACTATTTACCATACATTTGTTTTGTAGGCAAATATTGACGAATTCTGTTGCAAAACTAATTTTAAGGTCACTCAGGCCGTTTTATTCTGCCGGGATTTTGCAAATTCTTTAAGATACTGTACACATTTCTCAATTTGTTATTCTCGGCAAAAGTATCCTAGATGCCAGGAAGCTTGTTAGTAAAACTTGGCCTCGCCAACCGGATAAAAATACTTAAAATTCTCCCCATCAATATGTGACAGTTTCTCAAAGATGTGCGACCATTTGTTGAGTGACATCTGTGAACTATTTCCCATTTTGTTTTTTAATTTGGTATATAATGGTAGATTTTCTTTGAATCTCTAGTCGATAGGGTGGAATGTTGAAAATGCATCCATCCAGGTCCATGGGGATGAACTTGCATTAACGGCCCTACTCTACCCAACAGCGGTACAGCAGCAGGTTTCTGCTGAATCACTGAAAGATTGCCACTTAGAAATCACCGTTAGTTAAGAATCCAAGGACCAATGAAGTGAACAATCACAGGCATATTTACTATTGTCGCTTTACTAGCCGGCTTAAATCAATAGCTTGATCGCCCCTAAGTAGAGGCTTTTGACGCCTAAAAATCGAATACGGGATAGATTCATGTAGAACAAGTGAATTGCATAAACCATTGACATTAAGGTGCGTGCAGAACTCTATCGCGGATAGACAGGTAGGTGGGAAATGAATGAAGTTGGAAGATGTGTGCTTTTTTTGTTCCTGAACAGAGCATTTCCAAAAATATCACTCAACGATTAGTTAGTAAGCGGGCCAAACGGCATCTGTCTCCCCCCCCCCCCCACTTACTTGTACCCTCGAGTGAGTTGAAGTCCTCGCGGTAAATTGGGTCGGCGCAAGTTCACGTGTGGGCAGATTGTAGGCACCATAGATGGTTGCGTATATCGCCAGCCCACTTTCAGCCACGCTCTGCGGTGCAATACATCGACGATGCTTGTGTATTGGAAGCAGTGGGCGACGTGCCTGGAAGATACGCTTAATGAGGTCGAAGATGAAACTATGGAAAGAAAATGCAAAACATCAGCAGGAGGACAATCGTCAACTAAGTGTCTTGTAAAAGCATTCGGTACCAGTGTGCAACTAGCACATGTAAAAACCTATTACAAGGGCAACGTGGATAGAGTAACTTTCCGTACATTGATTCTGACGATCCAAATTTGTCGAAGCCTCGGAGATTTTAACAGGTTAAGTGCTGTGGTGTTCCGCCAGTCGTTGAAACGATATGCGAGCGAAGCGCACCCTAAGATTCTCTCAAATGTTGGCCAATTGTGCCCATTCTTAACCCCTTGGGTTATTTCCCACGAGGCATAATACATTAGCCGGGCCATTTTATAAGGACTAAGGGCACTGGTGAAATACGTTTCCCAACCTCCGAGATGGTGTGCATGATACATTATGTCCAAATGGAGTCAATAATATAATGAAAGAAAGACACTGCATGAAGTAATACTTACAGATGAATCTTTATATTTTATGGGTCCACAGAGTACATTCTTGCTTGGAATAATACTGGCAATAATAATGATGAAATATGTGACTACTCTGCTGGGCAAAACTGGCCTTTCAGGAATTCGTGTCCGCGAAGTGTTAGCCGTGGTTTGGCGCCACACGGGCGTAATTTCGAGAGAACATGTGCGCACCCAGTTAAAATGTGCTCACAACTTCCGTATGGTGCAGGGTCAGGGGGCAATTGTTTATCAGTCAGTCGGGGGGTGGAAAGATAATCGATTTGCCATTGGTGTTAGAGTAGCGACGAATACTCAAATGTGCATGTACAAAGGTAAAAGTTACTGTGGATTCTCGTTCTGTTGTGCTTGTTCACTGAGATTTGTTTCAAGCCTCATGCCGGTTGGTCTTTTGGAGTCGTTCCTTTTGTCCGTTAAGCACAGTCTCATTATGGCGCTAACGCTCTCATTTCTCTAGTTGCGGTCATCTGATTTGTCCATTATTTGCACGGTTCCTATTGCCTTTGTCTGTCCCCGCATGTTTAATGCGGTGGTCGGTTGCAACAGTTACCCTTCACGTCACATAAACAGAACCGTTTTCTTAAGTAAAGAAACTTGACTTATCTTTTTGATCGTTCGTGTTACTAGTGCCGTCAATGGTTGGAAACGGTCGCGGGACTGACAAGAAAGAGAGAATCAGAGAAGGTAGAGAGAGAGAAGCGCTGGTAACCTGATAATCTCGGACTATTCCTACCAGACGAGTAGACAGGTTCGAAAGTTCCGCCGCTAGACTTTCATTATTGGTCTTGTGGTGGACCAAGAGCAGGTACTCCTGCGTCAAGTGTTAGTAGTATGGAGGTGCCAGAAAATAGACGGTAACGGGCCGAAATCGGACCATACCAACGCCCCAACAGAAAGAAACGGTTGGAAACTGCAGACATTTTCGTGCGAGGAATAGACACAGAAATGGTACGCGCCACGCAACCAATAGACACAGAAGCAATACGTGCCACGCAACCTCTATTAGATAGCACATAGGTGAATGGAAGTTGCATTGGACAGAAGTAATTTATGATGTTTGTCACAATAAGCAGCTTCGTTCGCACTTTGAGTCCTTACAGTCTGACTAACAAGTTAGTCGGAAGAGGCAAGGAATTGAGGCTCAACTGCAGGTTCCGAGTAGCTCTACCGGAGCGCAGTTCCACATATCCGTAGGTCGAGGGCAATTAAACTTCAAGTTCGAACTTATTCGAAAATGGGCTTTCTCCTGCCGGCTACCGAAATTAAATTTTTACTGTGTCGCATTTTGCTAGTCAAAGACTGGCTCGCACTGTACGTCTTAACTCATGCTTCCTAATACCGAGATTAAAGGAAAGGCCATCAATACTTTTTAAAACCCATATGAGAAGGATGTGGAGAATGACTTTATTTGAACAACAACTATGGACTGCCTTGTACGAATAAGTCCGGAGGCACCCAGTAAGTATCATATTTAAAGTAAGCTCAAGGTGCTTTTAAGCGGTGTGCCACAATATGGTCCGATCATGAGACAGAGAACATGAGTCGGGCATGTCGACCAACCTGATACAGCAGAGAAAGTATGCAGATGCGTACGCAAAAGATGTACGCTATGCTTCCTCGATGCATAGCTACATAATACAACCAAGAGTGGATACATTAACAAAGAATTAGGTCAAATGATTCAGCACAATCAGGCTGTAGATAATGACTTTCACTACCGAGAATCCTGATCTCGTTAATTAGGTATTCAATACGTAAACGTGGTTAGATTCGCGAAACTCCAGATGAGCTTAATTGCAGTATAGGTAATTTAACTAACCTATTGCCTTATTCACAAGTTCAACCATCCGCTTCGTCGTACATGGAGAGAGAAAAGCACGGAAAGTAGCGACATTTTAATTCGATATTCATGTTACATATACTGGTTGAGGGAAGTAGAGTTGACTGGTTGATTTATTGCGCACATACACTTCGCCGGTGGAAAAAATCAGGTTAGCAGATGCGCTGCTATTTCTCTTGGGATGTAAACACTGATTTGCAACGGATTTAGTTCCGCTGCTTTGTATTCCACGGTTATCGAAACAGCCTCACAACCTATCAGCTAGTAACAGCGAAGCGGTAAGGAAATTCAGACCATGGATATGGCATGCTGCGTTTGACAAAAATCTCTTCATGTAAATACTTACAAAATATTAGGCACCTCATCTTCGACAACCATTTGCTTGAGAGACTTTTGCTTGATTGCGTCTTGAAAGCGTTGCTGGACCTGAAGCCTCATCTGAAAAAGAGTAGAAAGCAACCGTCTATTTCGTGACGCAAACATGTGCTTCGCTTGCGAGTGGTACGGGTGGGGTAAGTCGTGAAGCAATATAGACCCTGAACATTTTGTGGATGTCATCCAGCCATTTTCCTTCAAACATTTTGTACAGAGCAAGAACAACGAACATTTCTGCGGAATGACAGATGTTGCTGCTATTGCTTAAGTCATGCCACAAAGGAATATGCATCTACGGCTGAGGTTGTGTTGCTCCACAGAACCAAAAGCTACTACATGAAGCCCATTTGGACAGACCTCACTTTATTGTCACCGCCTCATGTATTTACCAGTTCAGCTGTACTTGCGGTAGCATGTACATTGGTCGGAGAGAGAGGAGGTTGCCCACTCGGATTACAGTACACGTCCCGCGGAACCTTGTGCTCCGTAGAACAAAAGTTACCTGCCAGCTCCGTTGTCAGGCACTTACTCGACTGCACGATGTGCCAGGATCCCCGCGAAGCTGATCAAGCACAAGTTATTGCTTTTTCTGTGGCTTCCGTTCTCCGGCCTTTGAAGCCAAACCTATGTAAGCAACTTTACGGCCGACCTTGTTTTGCCTTCTTGTGGTAAGACAGGCTAGCCAACGCAACTAACCATCGAGGTCTGATATTTACCTATTACCAACAACCGTTTGAACTGTTCACCCGTTTACGTAAGCAGCTGAAGAGAATACACGCAATATACTGCGTTCAGACTATTACACAGAAATGTTCGTTGTCCTTGCTCTGTTAAAATTCTGCGGATGGTCTGTCCATGACAGAGTGTCAGATGTCGTTGTTGGAAACCATTCATTCATTCATTATACACGTTAGCTAGAGGTGGGGAACACCTCAGCTATTGTGCCGCAATACACGGAAAAAAGGAGCGAAAAAGAATGCAACTGGTGCAAGCCGGTTAAGCTACCGATAACGGATGGGCGTCGTTCCGGTAAGCTACCAGTCGGCTAATGTGCATCAAAAAATTACTATGCAAAATTATATAGGGCTAAATAATGAGATCGTGGTTGGAGTGGGAGGCTAAGTGGGATGGGGTGAGACAAAGAAACTCACAGCACGAACGCCACTGAGATCGGCTCCTAGCAGTATTAGCAAGTGTGTCCAACCAAACGTGTTCATCGTCTTTCGGACCCCAACCAGAGAGTTGAGACGTTCCAACCGAGGCCAGCTCAGAAGTGAGGGCCTTCATTCCTCTCGACCAAGTCATCGTTTGGCCACCTCTCCTCTTCTTCCATGCACATCCCCGGCGCGCAAACAACGCATGTCGCGGGAGACGGTGGGCTGGCATGCGTAACATGTGGCCCAGCCATCGGAGCCTGGTGCGTGAAATAACGGTGCTGAGCAGTTCAGTTAATTATCCTGTGCCGTAAACAAGCCGTCGAACACGCTCGTTGCTCACGCGGTGTTCCCACCAGATGTGAGCTAAATTATGAAGGCACCGGTGGTCGAATGTAACTAGCCTCTTTAGGCCCGCTGCTTTAAGCGGCCTAGTTTCACAACCGTACAGTAGGGTCGAACGTACCGCTGCATTGTACACTCTACCCTTCAGGGCAAGAGTGATGTTGCGCCGGCGCCACAAGTGGCGATGGTTAGTAAAAGCGTCCCGAGCTTTTGCTATGCGATTCGTGATCTCATCTTCAATCCCACGGGCGCTGATACAACTTCCCAGGCAGTTGAATTTCCGAACAAATTCTAGCTGATCCCCACCAACGGTCAGCGTAGGAGGCGGTCCAGACTAATGTTAGAGGGACGCTTTGCACTTCGAGGGTGCGAAGCACAGCCCGAAGTGACGGACAGCTAGTGCTAATCTGTCCATTGTCGCTGGGCACGTTTGTGTGCTGTCACAGATTATGGCAATATCATCAGCATACTCTAAGTCAGGAAGTCGTTCTCCTGGGAGCAGATCCACACCTTCAAAGTCATATGCTGTGAACGCGATTTCCATGACTTCCTCAACAGCGAATTTGAAGAGGAAAGGTGACAGCGGGCATCCTTGTCTCACGCAGCTGGAGATATTGAAGGGCGACGACAGTTGGCTGTAAGCCCTCACTCTGCCCGTGCTACGCGCATATAATGCTCGGATAATATTCACATATTTCTCAAGTACACCTTTCCTGAGTATACCGTCCCAAAGTGCATGTCTATCCACAGAATCTAATGCACCTTTGATATCGAGGAACACGACAACGATGGGCCGCCAACATATGTGGTGGTGCTCCAACAACTGACGCAAGGTGAAGATGTGGTCAATGCAGCCACGACCTTGACGAAATCCAGCTTGCTCTACACGAATCTGATTTTCACGAGTGTAAGTCAGTCTGTTGGAAACCGCAATTTTCGTAAGCGCTGTAACGCATCAATACCTTCGGCAAACTGGCGCATGCCGGCAGTACACGCAGTAGACGTACGGGCAAATGACAGGTTGGCAGATGGATACCACAAGTCTACCAGTGCACTTATTTCGTATGGCATTGTGGAGACTATCCAACCAATACCTCCATTTTTACGAGCACGGTTTTGTATGAAAATGTCATCTGTCGTTATAAACTCGATTCTTCCATTAGTCCTTGATTTCAGTTGCCTTTAGGTTGAATTGTATTATCGCAAACCCCTGCTTCACTTTGCACCAGTATTTTTGTAATTGCTATCCTATCAGTCTTTTGGTTTCAGTTGCAGAAGTGTAAATATGTGCAGTTCCGTTGTTATATATGGTTGTTTGGGAAGTTGAAGAGTTTAGAATTATGCATACTAGGCCTTTTGAAATTACTAAAAACTTGTCCCAGTGGACACTGCACCTGCATGGTAGAGCGAAATTGCGCAATTAATGTGAACAAGCAAAACAACACAACTGAATACATTGACCTATGTGACGGGTGGATTTTAACGAAGATTTTGTGGTTGACAAGGCTGTAATTTAGTGATAGTAAATGGCAGGCAGCCAAATCGATCTGTCAGGCGAGAGATAGGGGTATTCAAAAAGGAAGACTACTGGCTGAATGTGATCAGCTGAATTTCAGAACAGATTATAAGAGTTACCCTGAATGTTGGAGCATCCATGATACGCTACAGAGAGAGCAAACAGTTAAATAATCTGTCGACTCCACATAGAACTTGATCAGGGAAGAGGACCCAACCCTTAAACTTTAAGACATGGATGAATTACTGAAGTGTTATTTAACAGACCCAACTTTCAAGTGCCATACTGGGAAACCCACCTTAAAACGATCCGGCTCTGCGTAAATGGTGGTGGTTGTATAGGATGCAGATAGGTACGGGGAAGGAGTTTCGTGTTTGTTACATGTTTTGTACTATTGCTTACTTGCTCCAAAAACTGCTGGTGACGTAGTTCATACGTTTGCATTCCTTTGGCATGCCAGCTTTCTGCTGGTTTGCGTGAGCGTTCAAATTCCTAAAGAAGAACCGAATGATGGCAAGAATAAACTACCTTCATCAATGTGAAAACAAAGAAATGGAAACCATCGCATTAAATCGAAACTTTTCATGCAAGTGGAAAATTGTACTTCGTTTTTGTCCCATAGACCAGGGTTTCAGGCAACCTTAGATCAATACTTCCTACTGCGGTTGAGAATTCAGTACCAAATTTCAGAATGCATTTGAATTGCAACACTCGGTCTGCATTAAGACCTCGGTTTGCAATGATCTAAACTTTAAGCATTACGACCACTGGGACAGCATCGGTAGGCGAGAGATTTTAGTGCTGCTTGCATTGAACATCATGACCGATCCGACCCTAGTTGAACTCACCAAGTAACTAGCTCTGATAGGAACTCGGGACGGAGTGGCTGACAACTGACGCTACGTCATTGAAACATTCCGTTTCCAACTTGGAAAAATATCTGTAATAGGTTCTTAACCAGTGTGCCAAAGCCTGATCGCGGATCCCAGTAACCCATTGATAAAGGTGCCAGCTGTCAATCACCATATCCAGAGTTTCATTCACAACTTAGGCTACCTCTAGGTGAGCAGTCCATCCGAGAACGAAACCGTCGGTCGTGCGGTGCAGCGTTCGAAGTGAGCAATACAGAGATTTATTCTTTTCCGCCACGGCCATAGTGATCGTAACGACCGAGGTACACATCAGTGTAAACCGTGTTTCGCAGGAGATCGCACGCAGGGATATCTCAAAAGCCAGGATCAGAGTGGCACCCGGAATTTCTTCGGTACTTGCATCATTTGTGCTATTTAACACCTTACTCTTTAGAAGGCAGTAGGCAAACGTTAACGTTGGTGTAGTCCCGCCAACTGATACCATGCTATATCTGAAGGCGAGATCGCTGGCTGGCCGTGAAAACGAATCTCTTCCAAATTAGTCTCAAGTGTCGTCGTTGTGAGATCAGTGCAGGCTTTTCACTTTTGATCCTTGCGTAAATGACCCGACATGTGTCCGATCGTTACGTTTGTGATGAGTGTGTCATCTCAGAATGAGCGCATGGACCAACCGAGCGAGCCAGACAGCCAATGGGAGGCGGGCGTATCCGATACGATTACCAGACTCCGAGTGGCCGATATTCGTATGAATAATGCACCGTTGGTTTGGCTAAAGCAAAGGAGGAATCTGATCGACACAGAAAGGTCGTTAATTATGGACTTGAACGTGCAAATTATATCGTGGAGTTTGGCTTGCCAAAGGTATGGTAATTTTCGCTGACATGACTTCGCTGAATAAACCCTTGTACCTGAAGGACTGAGTTCTGCAACATAGTGTCAGAGAAGACAAAGGCGAACCCCACTGGCGGCGCTCAGATGCTGTTTGGATTATCAGCGTCTATTCATCTGAATAAACGCCTGCCCCATTGAACATGGATTAACGGAACTTGGCGAGTAATTGGCGTCTATGGAGGAGCAAGTGGATGGATTTCTTCACTATAGTACGTTTGGACGAGCAACCGATGGCGTATCGCCTAGCCATGTTCCGACACGTAACCGGGGATAACAAGCGCCGAGTGATAGAGATATTACAATACAACAAAGGCGAAGACCGCAATAATTTGAAATGGTTTTTGAAAGGTTAGGGAATTTTGCGAAGGCCAAACCAACGAGATCTGCCAGCGCTATCTTTATTTTTCGTGCAATCGAGGCCCAGAAGAACCCGTCGACGTGTACAGTACTGGATTGAAGATCTTGGCCCGATTCCGCCATTTCTGTAAATGCATGGGCAGCAACCTTAAACGCGACCGGATCGTCCTAGGAATCAATGATGAAAGTACTACAAAGCGGTTTTTGCGACAACGCAACTTATCACTCCAGCAGTGCATCGATGTCTGCAACATTGAATCCTCGATCACCTATCAATATCAGCAAATAAAATCCGCAACTGATGCAGCATTGTGTGCCGTTCCCGTGTGCGACGCAGCGTAGGCTACTAACGTGAGAGAGGAGATATGCAAATTCTGCGCTGCGTGACACCCGAGCTCCCGCAAACAGTGTCTGGCGTGCGGTTGGAGATGCGCCAAATGTGGAAAAAGGAACCACCTTGCTTGTTGCTGCCAATCAACCAATGCGAGTGCTGTAGTTCGTTCCAAGTCACCCTCAGATGCAGAACATGCAACTGGCAACCCGTTTAGATGGGTGCCGCAAAACTGTATCTACGCAAGTCTTTTGATCGGAGGCAAAGTGGTACCATTCCATTTGGACACAGGAGCTACTGCCAACTTTCATCTAAGGAGGCATTGTCCCGGAATGTGCATTCGATCCGATCAAGCTTGTTGCACATGTGATATGGTTCCAGACTTCATCCGAAGGACTCAGCTACCATAGAAGTCGTTGGCCCAACAGACGAGCCTCACATCGACTGGAGTATGTGCTTGTGAAAGAGGAGTTCATGCCGCTTCTCGGAATTGATTCGATCCAGTCTCTCGGTTTTGTTGTTTTCAATCACGATCGTTTCATACATGCTTGCCAGGTAAAATCAGATATTAGTGACCGATATCCGTCTATGTTTAGCCCATATTTGGGAAAATTTGAGAGAACTGCTTACTGGTTCTTCGATCCTTTGATACGACCGAGATTGCTACCGGTCAGGAGAGTTCTATTTGCACTGCTTGACAGGTTCCGCGCTGAGTTGAGCGAATTAATGAGAGAGGGTGTGATTGCCAAAGTTGAAGAGCCAACCAATTGGGTTAGTCAGGTCAAAATAATTACGAAGAAGACAGGAGAACGTCGTGTGTGTATTGTTCCGAAACCTTTGAATGAGGCCTTGCGTAGAGAGCATTATGCTCTCCTAACTTAGAGGATATTTTGCCGTGTTTGGCCAAAGCTAAGTGTTTCATGAAAGTAGATCTCTCTTCGGCATTCCGGCACGTTGTTCTAGATGATGAATCCAGTTTCCTTCTTACTTTTGTAACACCGTACGGGCGTTATGGTTGGCTGCGTTTACCGTTTGGTTTGAACGTGTTGAGTGAAAGTTTTCCAACGCGATTGGTGTAGGCGGTAGACGATTTAGCTAGCGTACCTTGCGTGGCAGACGGTGTTTTGATCTACGGCTCGACAGAAGAAGGGCATGACGTTAGTCTCCACTGTTTCTTGCAGCGTTCTATGCAAAAAAACATCATGCTTAAACGCGAGGAAATTGAGGTTCGTGAAGACTAGGTGATTAGCAATGGGCATTGTTGTGTATTGGGTCAGCATGGTTGACGACTAGTCTAGACAGACACGTGCACACAACCCCAGATATGCACACCCAAGTGCATATTGCTCTGCTTCCCTGGCGCTTCATCCTTCTCCTTGCGACACCTTAACGTACTCACCTAGTTAGACACATATCAGATTAGAGTAGTTTGTTTACCGGAGCGACTTTCTTACATTGTTTCATGCATTTGACTTTTCGTACACAACAGGCATGTGCTAAAATACCAAGCGGTCAGCGTCAATCCAGGAAAAATTAAGGCAATACTGGAGATGCCGCCGCCTAAGGACGTGAAGGGAATCTATCGCTTAAATGGCATCGCGAAGTACTTGATCCGTTTTATGTCGAGGCTCGCTGATATCATGACGCCGATCAGGAAGTTAACTCACAAAAGAGTAATGTGGTGTTGGGGAAAAGAACAAGAAACCACATTCCAAACAATTAAGCACCTTATCAACAATGCGTCTGTAATTGGGTATTACGATCCAGCGCAGCCTTTGGTGGTACAGTGTGACAGTAGCCATTCTCATTGATTGGCATAACTGTCGTCTGTGTCCGCCATCTTGGATTTGTTCTAGGGGAATCGGCCATCATGATCACCATACCGTTAACCAGAAACGAAGTATTTGGTGCTACGCAAACTTACGCTAAGGTAGTAAAAGGATGGTTGGTTTGTACAAATTGCCAAGACCTGTACCATTCCAAATGCGTCAACATATTTAGAACCGATTGGAGGGTCAAGTTTGGACTACACGTTGTGTGATTGATTGCGACGCGCAATCTCAATGTAATGGACTGTGGTTCACAGTGAAGTGAACCTTAGTCACGGCGATCACTGGGACCGTACTCAAAGCAGATGGAAATTGGGCGTTGCCCACCCGAAAACCGACATAAGGAAATACAAGACCTCGGGTCCACTTACGTTCTGTCCAATGTGCACGACGGTTCCACTGGTAAAAAGCGTACTAAGGCTAACACATAAGTCCGACTGCCTAGTGGCCAAAACTGAACATCGTTTGAATGCAAAATATTGTTTCACTCGAAGCGACGATAGCGCATCTTGCACTTCATCCGTCTCCCTCAATTGTTACCTCGAAACCAACGAAAGGGCAAGGCGTTCACATGGCCACGCAGTACTAGAAACTTTGAGAACCACGAACCAACGCGTCATCGCGATCGATAGAATTATGCTTAGCCCCACCGCCCACATCCTCTTATCCAATGTATCGACCGATACAACGTCCCTAACATCCACCCTTCCGATTGACCAATGAAATCCGAAGCGCTCTAAACACCGATCCACTTGTGCAGCCGTTGCTGCTCGGTATAAGCGAAGTGCGACTTCAGTAGCCTCATTCAGTACAGCCCCAAAACGGGTGAACGACCAGGTGTAACCCGAAGTAACGTCACTAAATCCTTCGATAAACGTGCTTTACACATCACCGAAGACCAGGCGGAATTACGAGGTCTTGACATTTATAGGCACCAAGGTTCCTGAGTCCAAAACAAACTCCTTAAGAAGTAAACAGCTAGATGATTTAAAGCAAAGGAATTTCCTTGGTGAAAAAGTCTAAGTACAAGACAGTCCGACTAATATAATGCGCATCACTAGACGTCCAATCTCGAATCATTATGGGGAGCTCCGGTTAATGCGGATAACAATGGGATCAATCGATGATGTCGATATGGTGTTTCGTCGGCATATCGCCTGCGGACTGAAAACAATGGAATGCCCATATTTCCGGATGTTCCATGGAGGCAAC